GAGAATAATCTATAAGTTATGATATTATAACAACCAGCAAAATATAAACCATATAAACAACCAGGGTGAAGCTCTAAACTCATTTAAAAATATAGTGAGTTCAGGGCCACAGAGTACAAACAACAATTTTTGACCTTTGGGTGAAGTGAAGCCGGACCAGTAACAATGAAGGCATAAATTTAACGTATAAAAGACAAGAAAGTAGGCAACCGAGCATAAATTATCTTATAAATTTATACAACGAACCACACACATATTGCTGGTCGATAATCTTCGTTACTTAAATAATTGCAAAGAAGTATTATAAATTACATGTTCACTTAAAAATTATCACATTGTTAAAAAACAAAATTGTAATATCTTTGATTAAATTCATCAAAAACATTTATTGAACCAACCTGACATTATGTTCCTTAACTGGCCAAATATAGGAATGCAATTGTCCAAACAAATTATATGTTTTATAGTAAACATCAACATAAATAAAAATCATTATACACATGAATGCATTAGGCGCTACAAATTGAAACTAAAGATCCAGTGGATTGTGTATCATCTCACAAAGCCAACACGAGGAAGCACATTAAAGTCAGCACGGCATATAGCGCCCATAGGAACTGAACAATAATATTCCTCTAGTGGTTCTTCTATGACTTCTTCTCTTACAGTTGTTTATAACTATAGTATTACAATACACTATTCTTATCGCTCTAGATTCTTATGCATAACTTAATTTTAAGCCCATTTGACCGTTCTAAGACATTTTCGCATCTGTGAAAATGCATACTTAGACACAGTTACAGGTATCGCCACTTTTTGCCACAGTAGCAAAAGAGCTGCTCTGAAGCAGCAATGTGTTTTATAACATGCAAGAATAGGTTCTTCCTTTTTAATCACGTTTTTCGCCATTTTGCTGAGAAGTTTTATAGATCATCCTTGTAATTTTTGACAGTCATTTTTGAACAATGTATTGGTCTATAAAGAGGATAAGGAAAGCAGTCGTAACGTGTTGGTAGAAGCGACCCAAGGAGAGAGATGAAGCATGAGCGTAAGCGTACGACGGCGGTGAACGGAGCAGACAGAAGTCAGAGAGGTAAGTATGTATCAGGTCTAGCAGTAAATGTACAGTGTGAGTTACAGTTGTCGGTGAATAAAGTTTAATAAAGCATTGTGCTATGTTCAATACTCTGAAAAAAAAAAAGTAAGTTTGACACCTCAAAATATTAATTTATCAGCCATTATAAATGCCGATACCAATAGTTTGGAAAATGCCTAATATCGGTCCGCCGATAAATCGGTCGGGCTCTACCTTGGAATGGGTGACATGAGCCGACAGATCCTGCGTGTCATCTTTGATGGAGTCTGCCATGTTAAACCACCATGTTTCTGGCAGCTGGTGTGGAAACAAATTGACAGATGTGTACAGCCCTTCTGATGTCTGTTGTATTGTCTTTCCCTCCATGGAAAGAGTTAAACTTGAATTTGACAGAGCACAGTCCTGACTTATGTTCAGCAAACATGTCTTTAAAAGACCACACTACTGTAGAAGTTTTAGCTTCTTAACTATAAATCATGTATGCTTCACATTTTGCTGACTATTTTGAATGCATACTCTACATGTTATAGCATGGCTTTTCCCTTTCTGCAGTTAATCATCTCATAATTACAATCAAATGTATATTGAAAAATTGATGCAGATGTCCATAAGGACGGGTTACACAACTCAAGCAAGTTTATTGTCATATTGTACATAAATAAGTGGAAGCCAATGGCTGCCTGGAACAGCCAGAAAGTAAATAAAAATTTCTAAAACAAAATAGTATGGTTTGTAAAATGGTTAGCTGTGATGTAAAGTGTAATTGATTTGTAGTAAATGGGCTAAATCATGGAAAACCACTGATATGGTCCTGTAAGAACCTGCTGATGCTGCTTTCTGGTAGAGATCACAGTATAAGTTCACAGATGTTGTAGCAGGAAAAGCACAGGTGGAACTAATAATAATATTAGTTTTTTGCATCTGTTCCATTCATTGTCCAAGTAAACCATGGCAGTGAACATGGTGCACAGTAACCGGGCACTGGAACTGGCTTATCTAAATGTAGTAATATTATTAATGTTATTGAGTTCACTTTTCCTGCTGTAAAAAAAAAAAGTTCTATAAAGTCCCATTCCAACACTATTATTACTACTTACTATATTATTCAGTGTGACTGCTGGAGGATAATATATTTGATGTCCATAGCAAATAAACCTCCATAAATCAAAAATTGTAGAAAAAAAAAAAAAACTATTTAGACCTTGCCTTGGAATAATAAAGTTTTTTAAGTTTTTTACATTGTTTTTATAAGGCCAGTTTGCCTATATCAGCAAAAAAACAGGCCTCAAAACTGTTGCAGTACCAACATTACATATTTGCCTGTACGTTGGTGTTAACGTGATATTCTTATTTTTTACGCAAAGTAGAAGGAAAAAAAAAGATCTACTTGAGAAACAAAACAACATCGCCCTAGGGTGTGAATTAGAGAAGGAGCAGCCAGTTCACAGAAAAAGGTGGCCGTTGTGGCTGTCATGATCACTGGGGTGTAAAAATGACCTGCTGTGGCTAACTGTAGTGGACAGGATCAACATCACTGGTAATGTTAAAATCACCCCACCTCCCCTAGAGACACAAATTAGTGTTTTTCTCTGATGATTTTTTGAGTGTTTAAAAAAATGTTGGAATGTTTCTTCACCCACATTCATTATCCAGTTAACTGTGCCATGTTGTTCCATTTATATAATGTTAATGTAATGTTGCCAATGACACAGCAGACCTTCTTTGTTCTGACCACCACAGTTCCAGCTAATTCAGCAGCTAGATGTTTTTTTTATATCTGTTTATTTGTACAGTAATGAATTATATTATTCATGCTAATTTAAAATCTATTGTTAGAACCTAAAAAAGTCTTTTTTTTTTAAATGACGTGCTCAGATTTCTATTGGTTTCAACACATTTTAAAACCTCAGCTGCACTGATGCCAAGTGCTACAGATCCAGAACACAGCTGCTCTGCATCTATGTCTGTTTATTCCAAATTAAAAGATAACTTCTGTATTTTTCTTCTTTTGTATTGCTCCTACTAACAACTACTGTGTGTGTATATCTTCTTCCTGTGTGCCATG